CCTGTGAACTTTTTTGGTGAAGGTCATTTGTTTAATTGATTTAGGCTACAGAACTGCCAGTGTCATCATTGCACTGACAGATGGTGAACTTCACGAGGACCTCTTCTTTTATGCTGAGAGAGAGGTAAGAGATTCAGGACTTAGCTATACTGTAATCACAGAGCATCTTTGCTGCTTCTATAGGCAAACCCTAATTGAGGTACCTTGGGTACTGGAGAAAAGAAGATGTAGCAGCAAGGTTTTCAGCATGGGCTGGCTGAGGTTTTGGGTGGGCTTGTACAACCTGTGCCAAAGCCCATGATGTTATATCACTGCAATTGGCATCTGAACTAGCTAGATAAAAGCTATCTTAGATATAGCTTCATGTGCTGCAATCACCCTCTACAACTGGGCTGTGTCTACATTGGCATGATTTTGCCTAAAAACATGCTGCCTGTCTACACTGGCAGGGAGTTCTTCCACAAGAACACTGATGTTCTAATGTGTGAAATCAGTGCTTCTTGCGCAAGAACTATGATGCTCCCGCTCAGGAAAAAGCCCTCTTGTGCAACTGTTCTTGCGCAAGAGGCCAGCGTGGACAGGCAACATGAATTTCTTGCGCAAGAAAGCCCGATGGCTAAAATGGCCATCGGAGCTTTCTTGCTCAAGAGAGCGTCTACACTGGCACGGATGCTTTTGCACAAAAGCACATCTCTTGCGCAAAAGCACGTGCCAGTGTAGACGCTCTCTTGCACAAATACTTTAACGCAAAAACTCTTGCGTAAAAAGTATTTGCGCAAAATCTTGCCAATGTAGACTTAACCCTGCAGTTTATATACAGCCTTGGTCCAGGGTTTCTCTCACTGCTGCCAAAACAAGAGATGAGTGCTACAGATGCATGTGTTAGTAGGAATAAACTAACAGAAGCAGTATTTCCGCAAAGCTTTCAGACCACACGAGCTCTGGTAAAGTTAAGAAAAAGCACTTTGCATGCTGATCACTTGTGGAAATATGTCTGTAAGCGGGAGCTGCTGAGTACTATTGTGCTCCTTTCGAAAGTTCGGCCGAATTCTTGCTGCTCAGCACTTGAAAATCTGGCCTGAACTCTTTGGAAGAGAGCCACTAATTGAGTAACACAGCTTTGCAAGGGAAGTGGTTTCCTAGTGGACTTTGAATACTGGACTACTTATGAATAAACGGCTTTACAAGAAAATTCAAATGAAAAGAGGGTTTTTTTGTGGAAAATTCTCTATCTCCCCTTTTAAAGATCCTTTTATAGCTCTGCTGTAGTGATCGTACTGAAATGCCTCTTGTACAAAGTATAAGGATGTAGCATCATTATCATAGATCCCAGGAGCAGAACCCACAATTTTGTTTCAGGGCTTCCACTGTCCTTGGAAATTACATAAACTCTCAAGGCTGAAATCTCTGTAATTTGTTTTCTATCGCACACATTCCATGGGCAGGTGTGATTAAGTTGGAATGGCTAGAAATTCAGTTTGTTGGCTAAGAGAATGGTAAATGTTGTTTATGTTTGCCACACAAATAAATCGACAAACTCCTGCATCTTCAGGAGAACTGAATATTAGAGTCGAGATCTGCTCTCCAGATCTGAGGTTATGTCTAGACCATGGAGTTTTATTAGAAAAAGGTACGCAAATCGTGCTCCGCAATTTTCATATCTTTTTCCAATTGTTTTTTCAGAAGAGGCTTTTCCAAAATTTGGCCAAATTTCACTGAGCCAAATTTCAGAAAAGCCTCCTCTTTTGGAAGAGCCCTTCTTTCTTGTGAAACGAGGAAGACAGGGCTTCTGAAAGAGCGCATCTGCTCTTCCACAAAAAATGTCGGTTTTTCCGGGATACCTCTGGTATCCCAGAAAAACTCCGTAGACTAGATATAGCCATAGAGAAGAATTTTGACCGTAATTCTATCTCTTATCCTGCCCCCTAGTTCTTGATGACAACAGAACTGTGACATTAAAAATACAATTGCAAATGTACAGAAATCTGCATCTGTCACATGTCCATGTTTATTTTAAAGTTTTGCACTCTGGTTGCAGGCTAATCGATCTCGTGACCTGGGAGCCACCGTCTACTGTGTTGGGGTGAAAGATTTCAATGAAACGCAGGTAAATGATTCCTTCCTTTCATTTGTTTGGAATTTTGTCAAAGGTGGGCTACGTGCTGTCAGTTCACATATAGCAGCTATGAATGGACTTTTCATTTGAGCCAAGCTAGGGCAATGTCAGGTACTGTTCACATGTTAATGTGTAGTCAATTACACAATTAACCAATAAGCCAGGTTTATCGGTTAATCCTATCGACTAAACGCACTCCCCTACCCTTGCTGCCTCTGTCCAGCGCACACAGGTAGCCAGCTTGTAAGCCAGCTCTCTGTACATGCCAGCTCCATGGAGGCAGAAGTGTGGGGGTAAGAGAAAAGGCGGGAGCTGGTACACATGAGAAGTGGCTTTCAAACCAGCTCCCCATGCATATCAGCTCCCACAGAGCAGCCTACCCTCCGCGCTGCTGCCTCTTTTTCAGAGGCAGTGAGGGGGGAGAAGGGAGGCGGGAGTCAGCTCCCCGCGAGCACCGGATCCCGCCTGCCCCCTGTGTGCAAACGTGTAACCACTAAAATTTCTATTGGCTATATGTTTATGCAAATACCTAACAGTTAACATCCCTATTCACATCCACACGAGACCCAGACCTTCAGTTGGCGTAAATTGGTGTAACTCCATAAAAGTCAATGGAACTATTCCTATTTACACCAGCTGAGGGTCTTTGACTCTCTCTAAGTATTCGAAATCTTTCTAGAGTTCTATTTCCTTTAGGACTTCCCATAGCCTCCCCGCCCCCGTCCAAAACACTCAGCATTCTCCCGGCAATAATAATAGCAAAATCTCACTAATGAAGAAAAAGAAATGTAGCGATAAATGTATCAAACTCCTCTGATCGTGGATTTAGCCACAGATCCAGGCTAAGCTTGTTGGAAGGTACAACAAAGAGCCTGATGGTTTCCAGTGAACCTAGGCCAGGGGTCAGTTATTGTGGGACAGGTGCTGTTTTTGTTGTTTTGATGTAGACAAGAAAAAAGTGTCTGGTTATTGCTGTTTTTAAGTCTGAATCTTTGGCGTCGTATTGACTCTCCTCAGGGCGAGATGACCCGCATGTCACCCACAGTCACCAGCGGGGCCAACAGCCACTGCAAGGTGTGGTGGGCCCAGCGCTACATTCCTGAAAGGGGTGGGGCCTCCGGCAGAAGGGGTGTGGCTGGGGCAGCAAGCCCTGAGTGCCACCTGGATTGCGGTGCACCCCCTTTCCAGCCCTCAGAGCCACACAGAGCACCTGGCGGAGCATTTCAGCAGCAATTTAAAGGGCCACCATTGTAGCAGCAGGAGCAACTTTAGCCTTGGGTCCCTATGAATTGCCAGGTCCTGGGGCAATTGCTTCCTTTTCCCCTCCCCCCCATCAACAGGCCTGCAGGTCCCCAAAGAAACACTTGGCACCAGGGCTGGCCCGAGCCCTTTTGGTGCCGAGCCTGGGTGTGCGGCACTGGCCCCGGGCGCAGGGCACATGCGCAGGCTCACCCATGGGGCGCGGGCCCCCCCCTCCAATCCCTATGAATTGCCAGGTCCTGGGGCAATTGCTTCCTTTTCCCCTCCCCCCCATCAACAGGCCTGCAGGTCCCCAAAGAAACACTTGGCACCAGGGCTGGCCCGAGCCCTTTTGGTGCCGAGCCTGGGTGTGCGGCACTGGCCCCGGGCGCAGGGCACATGCGCAGGCTCACCCATGGGGCGCGGGCCCCCCCCTCCAAGGTGCACGGGCCTGCACCCGGGGCGCACGGCGCATGCGCATGCCAGCCATGGCCACTGGCGCGAAGCC